TTGTATCTGGTCTGTGTCTGGTCTTGTGTCTGGTCTTGTGTCTGGTCTTGTGTCTGGTCTTGTGTCTGGTCTTGTGTCTGGTCATGTGACTGGTCTTGAGTCTGGTCTTGTGTCTGGTCTTGTGTCTGGTCTTGTGACTGGTCTTGTAATGGTCTCTATTACAACACTGACCAATACAATACAGTGGAAATGACACTTTCAATTGTAGCAAAGGTCAAGCTAATGTACCCAGTAGGGTACATGTATATCACTCGTACCATAGCAAATAACGCTCATGTTCTTGTGATCTTGTTCATGCATGTTTCTGACATATCATCTGATCGATTCTTGACTAATCAGAAATGGTAATCTATTACCATGGTATGACAAGCTCTGTTGCATTCACTTCTGTAGCAGAACCTTGGAGCATGTCAAACTATAAAGTTAATATAAAAAATATCGTAGGCATATTGTCCAAATGACCCTTACGTGTCAGAATTTGTTGTGTTTTTAAAATTTGCCAATGTATCTTGTCTTTTTTATACAATATTGTTTTATGGCTAAAAATGACACAAAATGTGGTCAATGTGATCTGCTGAACTCAGTAATTATAGCCCGAGAAATCTTGTTAGTAGAGGTAGAAATGACAAATGGCCTTACTGACTTGAGGACACAAATCTGTCATCTGGATCCTAGGTCTCCGTTATACACAAGATAATGCAGTGAGAAACATGTCTGGTACCAGTCCAGTGGTGCTAAATCTCTAACAATGAGCATGAGACTAGCACATTTCAGGTTATTCCCAAATGCAATTTCTTTCACAAAAATTAACAAACTATGAATTTGAATAACGAATTGTAATACCTTAAATGTGATTACAAATAAAGTATTTGTTCAACCTGTCTTTTTCTGAGTGGAACATGGTATGAAAAACACACAGCCTGTAAGCCAGTTCTAGATAAAAAAGAATGATTTCATTGGCTATTACAGCAGAGACAGTGACATCATTTATGTTTTGAGCAAGTGGAACATAAGTCAATGTCCTGAAATGGGTTTACTATGGAGCCTTGGTTCAAATCTTACTCAGTGTGTGGCTTTCCTAGCCTACCAGTGGGACCCCAAGTCACGACTCTATTCAGTCGATGATTTCACAACTTATCTCATTTAATTGTTCAAGGAAGGAGTTAGCCCAAGGAATGCTCCAAAGTCCCACGCTCAAGGAATGATGAGTTAGGCTTTTGTTGCACAAGAAATGCACAAGGAGTTTGAATTAAAGAAAAGAGAAATTGGCTTTTGTGAAAGAGGGATGCGTGCCTGATTCGTGGTTGCCAACCATGAACTGTAGTTCTCTGGAAGTCATAGTAGATTGAGGAATTAACCAGCAAATTAACTTAAAACAAGTGTAGATGATGATATATTTGTAACATAGCATACTGTTATTACTGAACTCATACATACAATGAGCGTTACTCTAATAATGTCATGGAATGGTTAATTATACAAATTAGCTGTATTGTGTCTGCTGCAAATTTGGTAGCATTTGGAAGATTATTGATAAGCCATGAATTTGCCCCCCCCCCGAACAATAGCCAGGTGGGGTATCACTATGCCATGTATAGCATCTGTCTATAAACTCCTCTGTCAAAATCCTAAATGATGAGGCATTAGATATGGGTGATAAGGTAGACACCTTAAAAGGTTGTGCTATGTTCAAAGCCGTAAACAAAAATTGACAAATGAGGAATGAATATCTAAAAAAACCTCTCTGCAAATCACAAGGTTGTTAATTTTTTAGTGTCCATTAATACATAGTGGGTCAAAGTTCATAGATAAAAGCAACTAACCTGGGAAGTTACATTTCATGATTCGTGTCTGTGGGAAGTCCACTTTGATTCCTCCAGACACGGTGTATGGTCGACTCTTTGGGATAGGCGGAGGGTGGTTCTGTTACCAGAAAGAAAAAAAAAGGCTGAAATGCAGAAATTTAGGAATAAAATGTTTGATTTTAAATAGTAGAATTGTAATTTGTTCTTCTAGTCTTAAGCATGCATAGAAGTATTTCTACTCTATTTACAAACTGTTTTTCATCTTTATGTTTTTACTTTTCTGTAATGTAATTTCTTTTATGTCTATCTTTCTATTCCATGTAGTTGTTATTTTTTAGGGGTCAACTGGAAAGCAGTTCATCATTGAACTGAATCAGAGTACCCTTGTTAAAAATAATAAATAAGATAAGGTTACTAACTGAAATAATGCCTGAGATAATAACAGCTGTGGTGTGTAAAGTTTTAGACTTGATACCTGTGTATTGGAATCTAAGGCTCTTTCATCCCTCACATACACAAATATAGATATGCTGGTACATTAGCAACAGATCATCCAAAATACTAGTTTTGTTCAAACTTACTGTACAGACTTTGTGGAAATAAGTTATAGGTAATCCAGAAACAAGCTGATAACATAAAGGTTTAACTATTCCAACTATGAATTTGAAATGTGTCCTTTGTATATCAAGAATTGTAACCACACAGTGAATAAAGGAGACATTTTAAAAACCTCCAGACATTCCTGTTGAATTACTTCTCAAGAGAAAAGCTGCACTGTTTTGCGGTGTTTGTAAGTAGTATTTGGTGGTTGACTAGACATACCACATCCAGGCCATAAGCATTACATGTCTGCTCCACTATACCAGCTTCACATCTGTCAGGTTCGGACGTTTTCCCAACAGATGATGGTGGGGACTGAATTCTGCGAAACACAAAGTAGAGACAAGTTAATAGAAGCCTCACTGAAAAGTGAGATTTTCCTGGAGTGAAATTTGAAAAGGTCAGGTTATTTGTAAAGATTAAAATCCTTCTGCTAAAAGGAACCCCCCAAAAGCTGATGTACTTTCAAACTTCCAAAGACACCCCTAAAACTAAGGATCCTCAACTGGATATAAGTATCCCTGTGCCTCTTAAAATAACACCTTATTTTCAAGCACACCCCAAATTTCCAAGTTGTGAAAGAAAAGTTTACGATTTAATAAGGGAATAAATATGTGCTTGACAGGTGTTTAAGATCAGCTCAGGAGAATGGATGCTTATCAGCATTCATTCTCTAGAGCCAGTCTTAGACGTTAGTTACAGCCGACCAAGCACATATATGTATTTATTTTAATTAATAATTACCATTTTCGTCAGAGAGTTAACAGAAGTGAATAATTATACAATAAATTTCCAAGAATTTGGTTCAAGAATTTCACTTTCAGTTTCCTAAAGACCCCCATCCATTTTATGGTGTATTTCTTGTGCAAGTAGTCCAGAAGAATCTCCTTATACGGACTTGGTGCATGCATGGCAAGTTCTGCGTGCTGCAGCGCACACACACTCTTGACCAATAGGGATCGATTAAACTGTTTTGTATGCAGGTGCTAGTGCATTTCTTATGTAGCGGGCATTATCAAATGTTAATACACATCATGTTGTACATTGTCGAATAGGAAACTGTCTAAGGTATTTACGAATATGGGTTAATTTCACATTGCTGACTCTCAGAGAAATTTACACAAAAACCGCCTTCAGGCATGGAACTAACGTAGCAATGACATCCAATTCTGGTTGCAGAATACGAGGGATTCACAATGGTGTGCCTCCAAGCGTTTGAAACGTGTTGACCAATCACAACACACAAAATCTGTTGACTCTTTCCAAACGCACATTGGATGACATATTTTGCACATCAGGACTGGCCAACGCGTTGCAAACTCTTGGAGGCAAACTTTTGTGAATTGCCCGCATTAGTCTACAATGCTTCAAGTGATCCTTGGTTGTTATTTCTGCTTAGCACACATACTTCCTAAGCCATGATTTCTACTTTACCCTTCATAGATGGGCTCGGTGTCCAAGTACTCAATGCATTTGCTGTTTATCAGCTTGGCCTGCAGCACCGACTTCAGCGTTGGCCAATGTTTCATGCAGAGCCATCGTCGGACCAATGATTGGATTAAGGTTGCTGCCTTAAGCTGTCTGCTGTCACGGAGATACTCAAGGCATTGCCAAGCCTCCTCACTGTCACAACAAGACAAAAAGAATTGGGTGTCAAACAGTGTTTCATGGGTACATGTAGAGTCCATCATTTGCTCTCTGTGCATTAAGTTCCTTTGTGGCAACAAATTACTGAAAATCTCAACGGTGCCCCAAAACAAACCTGCTCAAGTTTGAGCTCAATGAGTACTGTTCAATCTGAGAAAAGCAATGTCATGCAATGAACCAACAAATTACAGTAACCCCGCATGCTTGTATGTCAATGCACATGCTTCTTATGGTGATTTCCCAAAAATATGCCTTCAGACATGCTGTTGTTGTTTTGTTTTAATGGCGCTTTCAGCAACTCAGGCTATTTGTGCCAATAACTGTACGTTTATTCATACACTTTATTAATCAGCATCACATTACAGAGTTAGGAAGAAGGTCCAATTTTAGAGGTAGGAGGAAACCGGAGTACCAGGAGAAAACCTGCGAGAGCGAGTATGGACTGGAAACCAATTGCACTTAAAGCCTGGGCCAAGCCGGGACTCGAACCCGGGCCTCATTGGTGCAAAGCGAGGAAAGAACCGCTATGCTAACCCGCTCCGCCTTCAGACATATTGCTGGAAATAGCCTTCTTTTAAAGCTTTCTTTAACATGACAGCTTGCCAGAAAGAATAATTTCATATAGTGTTTAATCCCATCACCATCTTTAAACCTAGTATACTTTTCCAAAAAAAAAAAATCTGATCAGCTACTTTTTAGATAACTGCAAACAATGGATTCTACTTTGAATTATTCCAGCACTATAAATTATGTATGAAATATCAAAAACTGAAGAGTCCGTTGATCACAGTAGCCCACGAAAGGTTAATCAACGCAAGCCCTCAATAAGCCAATTTTCATAATTTTTCTTTTTCACATACCCTAAGGAGTTAGGTTTACAGGCATGTTTAAGCCTAAAATGACATCATTTCTGTGGTCATGAATATGCAAATGCATTAGCATAAAATAGTAAAGATCATTAAAAGGTTATAAATTAGCACTGAAATTTGATACAAAGGTTAAAATCTGGTAAAACAAAATGTAAATGCCGGAACAGTTTCATTACACTGTGCTCTATTAGAGAAGATGTGAAGAGGCCATAACTACAGGAAAGAACTCAGTTTCTCTGTACCTCAGAAAGACATGTCTAGTTCCAAGCGCCCATCTTGTGCTAATATAAGGTAGTTTACTCTGGTCCATAGCCTGGAGAAAGCAGTCTAGAACTACCTGAAAATAGTCAAATCACACACATTGGTTAAAAGGTTTCCTGTCAAATGTGGGCTCTATGAGTGCACTCTCAACTAGATCCAATTTAAGAAAACACATTTTTTTATTTATTGCATAAAGAACACGGCACGAAATGTGGCTGGTTTTAAGAAAAAGTTTGTTTTGATATGATTGAATATCAAGACTGACTCCAGGGACAGAGGATAAAATATTCTTTTCTTTATTTTATTTTTAAAAATTTCAATCCAAATTCTGCATCAAGGGAAACAGTTTTTCCCAAATCTTAAAAATCCAGTTCACGAGAAGATAATTCAAGTTTCCCTTCCCTCCCAAAATTGTTTTTGTCAAAGTTGACATATTTGTAATCCAATAATAAAGCAATACTGGCCTTAGTATAGCATAACTTACTTTGCAGTCCTCCTGTGCTTTCTCCATTAATCCTTTCAGTTTTCTATGCCTCACTAAAAAACGGTAATGCCTAACAAACAGTGGAAATCTAATCTGATGAGGGTAACCTGAAGAGATAATATACACAAAAAAGGATCACCAGAAGATATTAGCCAATAATCAGCCTATTCCGCAGTTGAGAAAAATGTCAGTTCGAGACAGAACTGAATAAAAATTAAAAAACACTTTTTGGGGGGAATAGTGTCTACAGAATAGGAAGAATATCATGTGCGATTTTTAAAAGCAAAAAGTTACACTTGAACTTTTGTAGTCTAAATCTGTATTTTCCCCTGATACTCAATAAAAACCATTTCAAGTATTAAAAGTAATTAAACAATATGTGAGATTTGAAAAACATCATTTTGTTATACAGGATTCCAAATCAATAAACATACAATCTTGACAATGCTCAGAAGGCCCCTCTCAAGAATGCTGATCGAATTTTGGGGAAGGGAAGCTTCAAAATGAAAAGGAAAGGGTGGATTCATGGAAAGGGCCACAAACGAAACATGCCGCCCCCCCAAAAAAAAAGGAAAAGAAATGAAAGAGAGATGATTCATAAGTCTATATCACTTCTCTTCTTTCCATAAATGTGTGAAAGCCCTACAATGTAGCCTCACCCCTCAGAAAAGCCACATAAGGTTACATAAAGGATTCAAAACTTTTTCAGCCACCCCCTGCCAAGTAAACTTGGTTCTGGAACTGTTCTTGTTTCAGAGGTCCGAGTGCGGGGAAGGAGGAAGGGAGGGGGGAGATTCATTCATTTCTCACCTCCTGCCATGAGTTGTACCGTCTCCGGCAGCTGCAGATGTCGGACTTGTCTCCTGACTGCCTCACTGTCAAAGCAGTTGGCTTCCTCTCTCTCATTGGACTAAAGAAGATCATAAGAATGTTTTCGATTTTCTCACACCCCTTTAGTGAATTTTGTATTTTTATTTCATTTGTGCCTGTTTTCCATTTGCTGGCATCATACATGTTTACTATCACGCAAAAAGCCATTCATATATAATTGGGAAAACATAAAGCCACAATGTTGCAATGAAAATGAAAACATAAGGCATGTACCTAAAGCTCTCTTTGAAATCCATTTTAAAATCACCAATCAGTTAATTCATGGTTAACCTGTGAACTAACTTCTTTTCTCCTCTTTGGGTGAGGGAAGACACCTACCCTAATACATCTAACAAAGTGAGGATTTGCTTGGTGGAGGGTCTTCATCAGACTCTCAAGTCGGACGTGAAAATCTTGAGATAAGCTTGAAGCCAGTTCCTCACTTTTCCTGAGAAAAAAGAAACCCGACAGTTAATCAAGTTAACTAGCAAGGCAAGGATTTTTGACAATGATTCTTCCAGCAGACTGTAATTAAAAAATCATCTTCCAAAATTTTTAAGAACAAGATTTTATAATGAGGAAATCAAACAAGTTCCCTTTAACAGTTAAACATTTTTGCTTGTACTGATATCCATAAAATGTATACTGGACACAGTGACAAAGGATCCTCTGTCTTGATTACACTTGGCATGTTCGTATGAGAAGTAATCATAATTACATCTTACAGAAATGGGACATCTTTAAAACAGTTACATTTTGTCAACACAAGAAACTCTACAAACTTTATTGTTTGAGAAATTAATAAAAAGACAATTCTTCCTTAGCTGTACACTCAGACTATACTTAGTTTCTGAACTGGAGAGACTATGCTTCTTTCAGACTGTCTTCCCAAGACAATGAAGTTAATGCGTACCCTGAATTTTCAGAGGGAGGTGGACTTGGGGAGATTCGGAACATGAAACCTTTTGGTGATGTGCCTGTAGAACAGAACGTGGAAAGAATAACAGAAAATGTCACAATACTGTCGACAAAAACATCAACCAGCAAAAAAAGTTGCCAGCCCCACCATTAGATCACATTGAATATTATATGCGTATACTTGCAGGGGTTATGAGTATAAATGTACTCGCTGTTTACTGTTAAAATGTTAAAGGAGGCTGCAATGCATCATGGGTATTAGTTACCTTGTAATGCCTTCAGCTCCGGAGCAAACAGGTAGCCAGCAAAGCCAAAGTTACAAGTGTGTTTCTGAAAGATGCTGATCACATCATCATTAATGACATCATGGTTTGCTTCTAAGAAGTCGTTAGCAGTGTACGTGACATCACCGGCAAAATGTTTGATTGTAAACATGTCCTCGTTGTCAGGCTCTGCTTGAAAGACACTTAAGAATAAAACAATAATTATACATTTTAGTGAAAAGTGTCTTGTCAAGTACACTTACACATTGACAAGTGTTTCATTAATTAATTTAATTCTTAAGGGTCTGAAGTGATCAGAAGAGGCTAAATACTGGCCATCTGTAACAAAAATGGCCAGCAAAACGATTTTAGAAAAAAATTAAAAACCCATTTGCTACCATAGCAAATACATATTTAAAATGCAGCATTTCTTAAATGTACACCTCAGAAAAAGAGGTTTATACTAAACACCAGGTTCTAACTGTTTCTTCAATTTTCAAGATATTTTCTAAGAGTCATCACATTTATGTATGATATGAAACAGTAAGCATTTAACTTCAAAAGATTCAAAGCAGCAGATATAACTGATTCAATTCTTACCTATTGCTTTGTTGTGTTCTGTTAATGCTTTGTACCAGTGTGTGGTTGTCTGATGTTGGTTTGAATGTCTGCTTCTCAAGTAGGCTTAAAATCCCTGTGTCCTAGAGCAAGAACAATGTCACAAAATCTTTTAAATTGGAAAACTGCATTTGTTGTGAAGATTATGCAAGCATCACCTCTTAATTTCTTTAGTTAGGTTTTTAACATTAGCTTCTTGTGAATTAAATATCAAATATGAAGCTATTGCACCTTTTGAAGTCAAAGGTGCCTATCCCCCCCAAAAAAAATTCATGGAACATGTAATATGATGCAAATGACCTGACATATCTTCTGCAACATGCGGGATATCTGAGATGGTTTCAAAACATAGATCTAGCCACTGGACTGGATTCCAGTTAAATTATTGGTTCTCACACACAATAATGTGGCGCAACACCACAAAAAAGGCCGAAGTTAGCAGGTTCACTTATTTCAAAGATCTCTTGTTTAAACTGAATTTAAGCTGATCAAAAGCTTGAGCTTGAGCTTGAAGAAATGATTGGTTCTATATACAGTACTTGCATTACACAATTCCACAGGTGACAACTTATAACTCCAAAATATAACAAAGATTGACCACATTTATCAATGACCATAAAAGACTTTTTACCTTCATTGTTAGCAGCTCTAAGCATGGTGTGTTGTCCTTGTATTCCACCTGTATGTCATACTGTATGTCCTCCTCTCTGCAAGTAGCTTGCATTTTGCTGAAGATGCACTGATTGTAATACTGCTGCAGTGTCTCGCTGCAGTGGTTCATGCACAGTTGTTCTAATCTATTGCACTGGAGTTGAGAAACCAAAACAATCAAATGTGGCTGGATCAGGGGAAATGAGGTGGCACCCCAATAAGCCAGTTTGATTTTCAAAAAAAGGCAGGGACCTAGTAGAAGTCGTTTGTCAGAAAAATAAGACTGGAGCTGCGTATATACTTTTTATTGACAAATTTCAGGTATCATTTCAGTTTTGACATCAAATTGAAATTGAAGAGAATGATGTCCTTGTGTTTTTAAGAGTGTTGTGATTGATTATTTATTTATTTCACTTTTTAAAAACTGTTTGATCTGCTGGTTTGTTTTGATGGTTGTGGTCATCCTTAACCAAAAATACCAATGAATTCCAATTGGGACCAATTGGATTTAATTGGATAATTGAATTGAAAATATTGGTAAGGGAAGCAAAGACATGATGTACATCTATGTTTCAAAGGAAGATACGAGGGACTTGTATGATAGTGCAGAGATTACACAAAAGAGTTGTGGCAAGTCAGTGAAGTCTAATCCTTTGATGTTCCACTCTCCAGTTGAGAACTCACCTGGGTTGTTTCAAAGCCAAACATGTCGACAATTCCAATAAATCCTTCTCCTACCGAGCTGTGGGAGCTGGAGGAATGATTGGTGGAGGATTTCGAAGGAGCAGGGGATGACTGACGAAGAGGCTTGATGCACAAGTCTGAAAAGAAAGAATATTCTCCGAAGTTCTTATGTCTTGGCATTTGAATCCAAATATAACACTTATTTTCACTTAAACGCAACGTTTGCGTGTTCATACTCCTACAAAAAAAGGTACACAGGTTGCAAAATGTAAGCAGGATTGAATCTCCTTACTACGACTTTAGGAAACCCCTTGTTCTATTCCACTGGTGGTCACAACACAGAATGCCTTTCCAGTCCCTACATGTCAGCCTGGGTGCTCCAAGACTTAACCCTAACAGTCCCAAATCCTCCAATTTCAATATGATTTTACATACACCTTGGGGGGTTAGGGTTAATCTATGCTTTTCCTCTTATTTGGAAATTGTTTGAAAACTGTTTGTAGAACTACAGCTCCAACAACACATGGATGATATGATGGCTGATATGAGTTAAGCTCATATTAATTTGAGTTACAATGAGTCATCTTGTTGATTAAGCCCAAGATGACCTGATTGATGAGTCAAGAAGGTTTGAAGAACTACAGCTCCGACAACACATGGATTATGAGCTGATTTGAGTTAAGCTCATATTAATTGAGTTAGAATGAGTCAACTTATTGGTTAAGCACAAAATGATCTGATTGACGAGTCAAGAAAGTTTGAAGTTCACCTGAATCAAGTTGAGCTGATACGGATCAATACAAACTGAGTTAAATCACATTGATCAGTCTGAATGCTTACCATTAATGCGTGTATCATCACTACTTCCAGACGAATGACTGATGCTGGGTCTCTTGAGACTGTTGAGTCGTTTCACAATTGTTAGCACCATCCGGCAATACAGTGTTTTGGCAAGTACATCTCGTGTTTGGTTGGCCTGGAGGGGAGAAAAAATAAACCAAGACGACAATGAACTCCTGTTATATTGGAAAAATACTAAAACTGACCTTTTACCCTTCCAAGAAATGCTTTCTAAGATTTTTTTCCCCTAAGTAAGGCATTGATTCTTTGCAGTGCACTTACCATTTGTGCATCACAGAGCGTTTTGAAGACCTGACCCTTGAGACTATGTGTTCTTGTTGTCAGTCCTCGATAAAGCGAAACACCTGATACGCCAAGCAACGCTGCCACTGACTTAATTTCTGAAATCAATAAATTAATAATAAAATAAGACGAGCAACATACAAAAAGACATGCACATTCTTCCATTGCTTTCCTCCAAGGATAACTGTAAACAACTGTGTTTGACTTCCGTAAGTAAGATTTCTTTGGAAAGTGTGAAAATATTTGGGGAAAATGTTTTAAAACTTCAAAATGAAATTTTGAAATTTACGTGAACTTAGGAAGGTTTGACTTAGTCAAGAAACCATTACCATTACAAGACAATCCCAGAAAATTTGGGGGGAAAAAAAGCCCCTGACAAAGCCAATGAAATTAATGGAAGAGGTGTGATGGGAATTCGAGACTGTTACTTCCATGCAATCACAAAGATTTCTTTCCCTACCATTATTTCCCTTGATGTCGAGTTCGTAGCCACCATCTTCAACAAACTGCACATTGCCAAGAAGCAAAACAGCAGCTAGAATTCTCATCACATCAAAGAAAGGAATACCAAGAACTGCAAGGCAACTCTGTGAATAAATGAACAAACAATCAATGACTGGTCCTTGGGGTGTCTTTTATGTGAAGGGGCATATCTAACATCAAAAATCTGGTAGACATAAATTAACAAGGCCTAGTGATGATGTTACTGTTGGCTTAAAACTCTGACTTACATGCTGCGGTATTTCAAATCAGGACATTTTGAGCAGAGGCTGTGTTTGTGAAAACATTTTTCTTGCCATATTACTTTCTACATAAGTCGCTATGGAAATTTACCCTCCAACTTTCAAATCGTATTCTGTCTCTCTCAGTGTTGTCAGCTTTTGACTTGTTCAGGTAGGCAAAGGCGTGTGCAGAGCAGCTGTTGAGGTGCAGCTTGACTATACAAAAAAGAACTTACAAACTTTATTATGAACTAAGACACAGAAATGTTAATATTAACTACAAGTTCAAATTTACAATTTTCTGTAATAGCAACAGAAATTATTCTACATCCAGTATGGCTCACAAGGTTGGGGGACCCTCAGGGGTAACTGTGGGACCCTACATGGTGCCATGGACCAAAAATGGGTTACCAACAAAGATATTATGTGATGTAAATTGCTGGTGACTGATGCTCTGCTTTTTGAATCTCTTACATGAGCTCACTTAGCAGAATTTTACTGCTTTAGCAGTTCCATGAGATTGACCTCTGATTCCAGACAGCTAGGAGCTCAAACCTTGCTACTTACCTCTCTCATCTTGACTCAGACCGGCCAGCATCTGATAGAATATGTGATAGTTTCTCTCTCCCCATCTTGGCCTAACCACCCTAGAATGGTCCAGCCAATAGCAGTGGAGTTTGGTTCTATAAATAGCACAGTCTAAAAGCAGCACCTCAATGAAGTAACCCTACACAGAGAAAAGGGAAACATTTCATACCCTCTGAGTGCACAACAGGCTTTGTTCATTAATCACTTTTCAAACATTAGTTAGGATTAACAATTCAACTCTACATTAAAATTGGTAACAGAGGTGTAATCATATTTCCATGATTTAAATATGCCACAATATGCCACATTGCAAACCAATCTTTTTCTATGTGTTTTTGTCATTATGTACAATTTAAGTAAATTATGCTATAAATGCTTATCCAAAGCACATGTAATTGCTATTAAAACAGTCATTTCTTTTCATTTTCATAAAGTATGACATTTTTGCCAAGCTTACTATTCTACTTGAATCTGAGTTACTGGCAGTCTTGGCACATCCTAATGACCTCAGAACTGTAAAAGATGCCGCAAGATGCTGAGGAAATAGAAAAAAAAATAAACTAGACAGAAATCAATTATCAAAATTAAAAATAATTCATGACAGATACATGTATGTTGGCATTAATTATAAAAGATAAGACTATCACAACAAAATATGAAGATACTCGCATCCTCAAACTTCAAATACTTCTAGCAATTATCAGATAACAATTCATAAATGCCTCCAACAGTCTCCCTATTCAACAACGTGCAACTTGACCAGGTATTACCATTTGATAATGCCCACTGAAAAGTTCTAATGCCTGTGGCGTAAATCACGTGCTTGCACCTGGATACAAGACAGTTTAATCGATTCTGATTGGTCAAGAGTCTGTGTGCACGCAGCTCGCCATGTGCACGTCAATTGGACAATTTGCGCAAGGATTATTCCATACAATGGATAGCTAAGGGGTGTTCCGGAAAATGAAAGTAAAATTCTAGAACAAAATCGCTGGAAATCCATCAAAATTTGACTCCTTTTGACTCTCTGAATAAAAATGTGTTTATGAATGGGAATAATGTAAGTATGTGCTTGGCTGGTTTTAAACTACTGCCTCAGGCGACTGGAATGCTGATGACGCCCGAGCCAACCTGAAATGCATGTTTAAGACCAGCCAAGCACATATTTATTTCATTACTTTAGAGGTGAAAAGATTCTTATAGGATAAGGCCTCTCGTTTTTTATTTTTTTAACCAAAGGAATCTTTTGTCAGGATGTCTCAGCCTATGGAGGCGCTCAGCCACAATATAAAGGGGGAAAGCTGTGAAAACCAGTGCACCCAATTACACTCTTCAAGGATTTCATTATGAACCGTGTCAACAGATAGGCCCATATCTCAAGCAAAGAGGCAATAATTCAGTCATTTGCTGACACAACCAATTTATCAACAGTTAAAGAGGTATTCCAAGGATGAATAAATCCCTATGGGAAGCTTAACCGGATCCTTGAAATTCAGACCAACTTCACTGTTTCAAAAGTGGAATGTCAGTTTTTGACCAGTGACCTAAAAATCTTTCCCATTGCCAAATATGATTCCCTGAGTAGCTACATCTTAATAAAAAGGCAGTCTATCAGTCTATTATGGGTCTTAAACCTATAATCATCTGGGGTATGAGGAGGCAATGCATGGAGAATAAACATACTGATAAAGGTACTGCCTATATGCCATACAGTGCTTGCTGCCCATGGGTGATTCTAAGCTGAAATAATTTTCAAGGAGAGCACAGGTGAGGAATAAATTCAGCTCTGATTTTTAGGGTAATTACATATTTGTTTAAATTGAGGTCCATAACATTGAAATTCATTCCCTGGTGAAAATGTAAGACTCAACTGTCACTTACATGTAGCTGGTTTTCAATGATTCTAAAATGTGAGCATGTAATATCATTTAGCCTCTGTAAAGCAGCAAAGTTAATGTTTCTGATTCTAGATTAGTTGTTGTCTCTTCAAAGAGTTTAAAGTATGTGAAGTTTTTCAAAATCTCAGCTCTGCCATCTTCATCAGGCTTCGATTTAATGATTTCAATTTACAAATTGAGCTTCTAGAGCTTAATACAACTTCCTTCTCTGTAACACAAACATCTATCTTATCCAGTATGAGGATGAATTTTTTGAGGAATTTTCCTTTGCTTCCCACGTTTAATATTAGAAACTCTTTATGGAGACAAGTCTGATACTTCTGTAGACTTGCCTGTTTTTGATGAGGCAGCGCCCTCTCTTGTCAATGCCCAACACCCATAGTAAAAGGATGAGGTGCAGAATAACAATTTGGAATTCTTTGTTGGTATTTGTGGGTGACGTGAACTATTTATTGTGTCAGCTTTTGATGTGTCACCTATTGACAACCAGCTGTGAAATTCTCCATGTTTTACATCTTTCTCTTCTGTCAATAACTTCCCCTTTACTCTGCCTCTCTTGCAGGCAGTGCCCATGCAGTATCCATTACTGAATAAAAACAGGGCAATTTCACCACAGGCAGCCGGTGCGGCCTGGTAAAAAAGGCTTGTGTGCCTTACTTTGTTTCCTTCGGAGTGTTTATTTGCTATTCCAGCTGAGGGAACAACACAAAAACAAACTCTGCATTACAAAACAGAAGGCGGACAAATGGCTACAATCACTGTTACAAAATATGTGGATTCCTTGAAGGCAGAAAAAGGAGAAATTGGCACTGGTGAGAGATGCTCCTACCTTGAAGGACTTTGTCTCTGTGCCTCCTCCAGCAATTGTGTAGAGTTGTCTCAGAAGAGATTGTGACATGTGAGTCTTACCACTGCCGCTTTCACCACTGCAAGGAGATAAAGTTTTTGTCATCAAGTGACTCAAATGTTGAGAACAATATTGTTTGGGAGGTAAACGATTGGACAAAGAATGTAATTTTCACTTGCACAGGAGTTATGATTTTCCTAATTTACTAGACTTCTTTGGATGAGTGTTGAAAAAGGGTAGAAAAACATACTCTAGGTTGCACAATTTTTCCTCCCACATAACTTCTATCCTACGACTGAAAGAAGCAACAAATTCTTGGACAGCATTTAGCTAATCAAAAACAATCATTTAAATAAGTGAGAAACAGAGTTAGGCATAGAAGTACATGGATTGCTAAGAGGACTGTTTTCCAAGGGGTGTTAAAAAAATTCCAATCCACTGACGGAGACTGTTGTTCACAAGGACAACTCACCAAATAAGTGGCAGTTCTTGGGACCTTTATCAGGGGCTCTTTGAAAGAGCACAAAGAAAGGTGTAAACAAATTAGCCACAGCAATTCATCTGGTCTCTTTGCTCCTATGGATCTATCCATTTTGTTTGGAGCAGCTCAGCCTCCATACCATTCAGGAATCACTCTGCTAATTTTCATCCTTTTTCGTCTTTAATCGCTCTGACAGATGAAGAGGACCCTAGCACTCAGATGGAGGTGACAGAACCTTTGATATACATGTACAATGCACGCTTTCACGCTGAAATCACTTTGAAATGATTTATATTGACCTGTCTGCTTTCCTTTAGAAGTAAGAGGTACAGTAGGGCTTTCTGGTGGGGCAAAAGGTTCTTTTACAACTGCTGACAGTTGTAAGGCCTATCCACCCCGAGCTGAAGTATACCCCCAATCATCGAAAGAAAGACAGGTGGTTACAGGCAGGTTCTTGTACGTGTTCTGCGTGTACGCAAAGACCATATATGCGGGAATAAATTAGTTTCATGTACTCAGCGTGCTCTGCATTAAACATGCATATACTTGCACGCTTCATGGCGTGTCTATGCAGTGAGTACCCAAAAAACCACGCCCTTTTTTGTTCCACCAGGAGTTTGAGCCACAATTGTTGGAATTTGAATTCTTTGTACTGACAACCTCTCCAAGTTTCAGCACCTAATTATGGTCCTTGAGTAGGCCATAGATGGCCCTAGTCAGTATGACAACAAAGACCCACTCTCTGTGGTCATACTCACCAGAACTAGCCCAGAAAATAGAGAGGTAAACAATTTGGGGAGATGATAATTACAGAAACTGACTACGATGAAAACCACAGAGCAAGCTGAAGAATTGCAGCCAAAACCACAATGGGGGAGGCCATGACTGTTTAGCCACTCTTTCATTTGTTATGGTTACTTCTGTCGACTTAAATTATTTATGCACAACCTACCTAGGCTGCCCAAAACCTTTCTTGTAAAGTTTTGTCATACAAACAGCCCACATTTTGCACTCAGAGGAGAGGAGGAAGCAATAATTCTGTTTGGGTATTCAAATTTCCAGATCAAACATGGCACCTTGACTAGAAGTCACCAGCTTTTGGTATGATGTCAGAAAATAATAGGGTGAGATGTAGATTTGTCAGTTTAACATTGTTGGATGTTTTTGATAACTCTCATCCAGTAACCACAAGAGATGCAACAGTTGTCATAATCACAGCTGTAAGAAAAGGTTTCAAATAAAGGAGTCAGAGGATTAGGCAAGGATAGTCCTTGGTGCTGGATTTCAATCCAATTTATTATTCCAGACCAGACTGAGAAGGAAAAAAAATTGAACATTACATGTACATGAACTGTCTTATTCAACCCTGACTCACACTCTTCAAATTTAGCAAAGGAAAATGCTGACTACTGGGGTAAACTTCACCAAGAATTTGTCAGTCCAGGTATTATCCTGAAATTGAAACATTTTTGACAGTATTACTGCAAGTACAGAAACCACAAATTTAAAGCCTCCAGCAACTAAAATTCTTAGTGGGAATACAGTGTAGTGTTCTGACAATTCATCCCGTGATCACAATGGGGCTAGAAATCTATGGGCTAAGCAAAATAAAAGGCATTATTGGACCTATCCCGGAAAGATGGTCAGACAAAAGGCCAGGCAGACTTCTTTGGAAATCACAGCTGGGGCTTAAGGGATCAGGGAAATTACACAGGGCACTGGGTATTGTTGGTGCTGGGTCCCTAGGTGTAAGCCAGGTCTTTAGAGGGCTTGTTCACCCTGCAAGGAAGACTGTTCAAGTATTGGCGTACAGGGACAGGTCAAGTAGCCAAATTTGATAAGTGGACTCAGCTCCCAGTTGTTGGCCGAGATTTCTGAAGGGGTCAGGGATTAGGGTAGGACCCTGGAGGGAAGATGGGTCAAGGACCGATAATTGTGATGACAATTTGACAAGTTGCTTCCTGAAATCAATCTTGATTAACGTCAGAACTTCACAATATTCTGAAATTCAAAGGAAAAGAATTACAGTCCAGTCAAGAGTAGTGTTGTGTATGGATTGGCTCTCCAGAAACGAATGTCTCCAAAAGGTTTTTTGACATTTAGAACATAAATTTGGGGGAATCGTGGAAACTGCAACAATTTTAAATGTGTCTCTGATGGGATGGAGAAAGTACATTACGATCATTATTGTTTATGAATTGTTGGCATTATCATAATCAATTTAATCGGTTAAAGTTAGTCTTATACAAGATCCATACTATATCATTAGGCTTTTCGCTAATGCAACAGTTTTACTAAAAATCACATTTATATTTTTGATGTTCTGCAGGACAGTAAAGTATGTTATTAATTATATTCAAAAGTTATTTATGTAGCGGTCAAGCCACCGGCTGATCGCTCGGGGATAGCGGTCCGTCCGCCACTGAAGGAGGAATTGGAAGCTGAAACAAGGCAGGAAAATGAAGAGAAGAGAACAACCAGAGAGAGACGATGGTGATGGGAATATCAATTATAGCCTCACACTGACACTGCTGTAAGATTTGCCCTGATCTTTATTCCATGATCAACTTAGCTTAAATTATTAGTCACCGCAAGCATAGCAATACTGCTACTCATACTTGTAGCTAAGTCAACAGACAACTATCGAGCCTTAGAAGCTCCTCCAGATAATCCAGTGGTGCCAAAAAGGTATTACAAGTTGCGCCAAAAAGTAATACAATACGGCCACTTCCGGCCAACAAAGTCTAGAGAATGTTTTGTCACCCTGCTCACATGCAGAGTTCAAAGGTTAAATTATAATGACCGGAATGATAATAGGGGAATCCCCACCCCACTACATTTATTTGTATAACCAGTGTATAGAGGATTTCCAGTCACATGATTTTTGACAGTCGGCATTCAATTTACACAGATGTGCATGAAAACACATGCATCTTTGAAGTCTCTCAATATTCTGGTATACATGAAATTGACATACCCAGATTTGAAAATGCACTCGTCTTTACGAAGATGGTACACTTCCTGAAATGCCTTTGCCCATCATGCATTACGTCAAGTGAAAAACCTCAATTGGCTGTATCGTTGAAGAAGGGTAGGCCTAAGTGGATGAAAACATGTGTTCATCTTCCTCCATGACAGAAACAAGTCACATGGATACTACACGTATCTTTATCAAGTCATGCTGGTTTATGGACACTTGTATTACTAAAGCTTCAAAACTTTGTCTAACCTTGCCATGACAAGCAAAACCTTCACATCCAGATCTTTGCCCACCAACAGAAGTACAATCTTGCCCACCTCATCAGCACACAGCATGCACCCTGCCCAAATCAAGGCCTACATGTAGCCTCCATATGCAGGTACTGCGCACGCTCTGGGCAATCCAGCCTAGCTGTTATTTTAGATACCCCCTGTGGTGTCATTACCTTCAGTCAACCCCCCCTCCAATTCATCAAAACAAGAACATTTTTCAGGTTTGTTGTTTATCTGGTAATGCATTCCACCGCAGGAATGGACACTTGGAATCTCATTTCTATGCTGAATGCTAAACCAGCACATCTTATATATTTTGATTGACACGAGGACTCAACTGCATCCTAGAAAAATGCCTTCTGAGCTGACTGGCCCACCTTCTTGGGAGAGAGAGTCAGAGATGTTTGTCCTTCAAAAGGTTGTTGCAGAAAACAGAGATTAAACTCAAGAGTCCATAATTTTGTGGTCAAAAAATCTTGCAACCCAGGAAAAATCCCAGAGGAATCACACACGAGACTCTTTGACAAACATCCTCCAAAAGCTTATTTTTATCAGAAACCAAGCCAACTCATTCAAAATCCATCAACTGAATTTTCACAGATATGGCAGGCTAAGGAATATACATGTATATTTTTAATCACTTGATTTTTGTAAGTCAGTATTACGTTACAGAACTAACCAGACTATTCAAACAAACCAGTACAGTAGAACACCCATAAATACTCACACACCATATATATTGGCTTAAAAACAATTAGTTCCAAAACAAATTAGCATAAAAATTAAGCAAACCTTTCAAGAAGAAATCCTACAATTAAATGGCTACTTTAAAAACTTAACATACATGTATACAGAAAATTTAATCCTGACAAACTTGGACCAGAAAACCTGAAATAAGCAGATGATAGCCACTAAGAACCTTATGAAGTAATAAACTGGCCCAACATCCCAATGAAGGTTTCAGGTCGTGCATATTGATTTCTTGATAACACACAGGAGCAAACCTGATGAAACGGTTGTTCCAAGGGCGCAACCTCAAACAGCTTTGGAGGAAAAAAAGTGTGTTCTACACGAGTCTCCACCCTTGTCAAAACACCAAAACAGCTAGTCAGAGCATGTGCACTAACAAGCGCCCTCAGGGCTCTCAAAAATGATCTAATTATTGGTACTTTCTGGACAACAGGCTGCCCATGTGGCTTCCGAGTCTGTCTAAAAATAATTTGCGTTCTTTGAGACAGCCGGATATAGCCCCAGGAGCAAAGTAAAGTTCCCAGTCAAGGAACCTTGTGCCTGTCAATTAAGAAAAGGTGTAAAACATTTAGCACCTGTTGGCAGAGTCAGTAGTAAAGCATCGACCTACAAATTCTAGGGCCAAATCTGCTTTGGCTATGAAAAGACTGAGAAAAAAAGTGGCAAAAAACTTGGGGCGAGAAACTGTCAGTTTCAGTTTTATCTGAATTTTTTGCAGCAGTACTTTAAATTTATTCCTAGGCTTTCCAAAGAACCCTTTTCAATGTGAGTGCAGACTTAGCAAAAATTTTCAAACAGGCAACAAAGTTAGCATCTACAACAAATTCTGCCTTTAGCCTACAAATGTTTTGTGCTACAATAAATCAATTAATGTTCTTAAATTCTTCAAGAGGTTTGTCGCTACTACACTAAAATCCCTAATGTGAATTCCCTTCTGTTTGCTGAATGACTAAGGGCCAGTTTGAAGTATGTTATGCAGAGTTTCAAAACAGCAGTCAGATGCCAAGATGTGTACATGTACAACAAACAACATAAGCAAGAGCTCTTGGAAAAACAACCTCTATGAAAGTTGCTGGAACTGCCACTCTGCTTAACTATCAATGAAAAAGTCGCAGGTGTGTGGTGAATTGTTATGCACGTTTTGACTGAGAAACCACCTCTATAGAGAAACCAATTATTTCCATTAAGCTATTACTAAACCAATAAGCCAACAGTATGATTAGTTCAGACTGAGTAACAACAGTGAGGATTAGGGAGAGGGTAAACTCAGACTGAACAAAAATAAAGGCTTTGACTCCTGCCCTAGGGGTGAATGACTTACTCCACGATTGTTGGCATTAGCATGGCGACTCTCTTGCCTACCAGTGAAACAAATCAAAACAGGTCTGCAATGCGCAGAGCAGTGCTCAACAGATTCAACATTGATTTTCTACATCAGTGTAGTTTATCAAACCCTGTAGTCCCGACCTGACCTAAATTTTGCACTCTAAAAGTATTATGTAATGTTTCTGATTGGATTTTTGATGGTGTATGAAATTTCAGAGTGCTACATGTATCTGGGTCAAACAAAAAAATATGGTTAGTGGGGAAGAAACATCTGGATGCATATGTAGGTGAAACCCATTGCCACATGGCATGTACAAATGTCATAAATTCTAAGTGGCATCAACAAGCCAACATTACAAAAGGAGAGTAGCCGAAGTCCTCGACACACAACTGTTCTAGTTTCAAGAACAGAAAGCAATACTTAGAGAATGAATGTTACCAAAGACAAATAGAAAGTCCCTTAGACTATGAAAGACAAGCACAGTAGCAGACTTTGAGAAGGGAGATGATTGGAGGCACTTTACCTCCATTCATTGACAAATCTTTAGGATCTAGCTGCAGCAGAAGAAATCAAATGACTTCTAAACCGCTGCTTTAGAATGCAGGCCAGACAAGGAAAGAATTCAAAATTTCGAGGGTGAGGAAGGAGAAGTCTGATGTAAACACTTAAATATCATCCTCTACTCCTGGAGACGAGACAAGAACCCCCCCCCCACTGAAATGAGCCTAAAAGATTAGTGACCAGAGTAAAAAAAGCAATGAAAACGTGTCACAAGGTGGTTTGGTCTTCCATAAAGCATAGAGACAAGTAGACCTGTGTCTACTTTAGAACATTTGTTGCAAAAAATCATGTTTGCCAACAAAAAACAGGTAGACAGGTCACTGCAAATTTCATCCAAATTTACAGATCACATAACTTTATAAAAGTAAACAATACTACTTTGGGAAAGTAAAGTTTTCACAGTATAACCAAAACTGCACATATTTCATTACATATAGTTGCAACTTGAGGATTTCTGATGATCTGAGAATATAACAAATTTTTGATGTCTCAAGAAACAAAGCTCTAAAACAACTTCATCTCAAAAGAATTCTAAGAATTTTCATAGAATTTAAGTACTCGCCAGAAGTTCAAATTCCTTTGGATTTCAAAAGAAAAAGTTAAAACCATATACTAACTTGCCAGCATATCATACATTTGAAGATGTCAATATTTGTACTGACTTACCCAAGTATTACTGTTTGTGATATGCCGGTGTCTATCAGCTGCTTCAAGATGTGTGATGCTATTCTTTGGATGTGATGTGATTGGTTTGTTCGACTGTGCTGCAGGACATGCTCCAATGGAACCCCACGGTAGGGATTGATGCTGACAAGAACAGAACCGACCCTTGTCTGAAATAAAACAGGAATGATCTTACAGCCATTAAGTTTAATGCTATATATGTCGGTATTATACTGATCTCTTTCACACCACAAAAACTATGCAATTGTGGGAAACTGTGAAAGTTAGCAGGCATCAAAAAACTACCACATTAACTTGCCGCAACCTCTTACACAATGCAGTGCAATTAGGTGGCTTCATCCCTCAAAAAGAAAGTAGACGAGACTTAGAACAAAAACTCTATACCAATCCGCTGTTCTAGTGATGTGCCCCCTAGCTGGTTCTGATCCTCCTTGCCAAAAGCTGGTGAGGGGGATGACTGTATGCAACTTTTTGGGGGGGAAAGGGAAAAGGAAGATGACAATGGGGTGAGGCATTGTCTTTTATACTCACATGACATTCTCCGTTATGCCAACGATGCCTCAGTGCTCTCAACACTGCCTCCTCTGTCAATGGTCCGGACATCTGAGTAAGATCATGCAGATCATTGTATGGGTCAAGGGTCAGGGCTACTCCCTTTCCAGAGGAAGGTGGGGAGCACGAACAGCCACTGTAACAGCTTGGACTATGAGTCGAAGACGAATAACGCTGGTCCCTGTATGCGTCAAAGTAGCTGGGATCTGAATAATGGGAAATATTAAAATGCAATATAAATTTCATGTTTATTAAATACAAAAGTTAGGTCTATTTGTTGCATTTGCTTCCACTTTGGTTAGTGGGCAGATTCTATACCTTTTGAACACTTTTAAAAGACAAAGGGCCTAAAACGACTAAATAGCACTGCTACCGGCTGTACACAGCCTGGACTGTGGGCCCATATGATCATCGGTCAGAAATTGCTGCCAAAATGGACACATACGTGTATTGGTTTTTTGGCCTTGTCCAAGATTAGCGGCTGCTGACTGGAAAACACGTAATGGTACATGTACATATGGAAGCAAGTTAGCCACTGGCTAGCAAGCTGTAGACACTTCTCAGTGGTCAGAGGCTGCTAGCCTATGAATGCAAGTAGCTGTAGCCCCTTCTCAGTGGTCAGTGGCTGCTAGCCTATAATTTATAAATGCAAGTAGCTGTAGCCCCTTCTCAGTGGTCAGTGGCTGCTAGCCTATAAATGCAAGTAGCTGTAGCCCCTTCTCAGTGGTCAGTGGCTGCTAGCCTATAAATGCAAGTAGCTGTAGCCCCTTCTCAGTGGTCAGTGGCTGCTAGCCTATAAATGCAAGTAGCTGTAGCCCCTTCTCAGTGGTCAGAGGCTGCTAGCCTATGAATGCAAGTAGCTGTAGCCCCTTCTCAGTGGTCAGTGGCTGCTAGCCTATAAATGCAAGTAGCTGTAGCCCCTTCTCAGTGGTCAGTGGCTGCTAGCCTTTAAAACAATGCAGGCATGACCTTACTGAAGGACACTTTAGTGTCATTACAACCATGTACATGTATCTACCAGTATATTCTGGGAGTGTTTCCCTCAGATTCTACGGGTTTTGTGAACATTCAGTCGAACCTTGACAGTGAAAAATACATGCCATTATGCACACACCTAAAGCGACAGGCCCTAAACCAATCATCACAATGATTTCTTGATTAGATTCTCATGCTGAAGAACCCCAACACCACCTTCAGGTCCTCCTCAAAATCCTTACCTACAGAGAGAAGCAACATTCCATTTAACTGGGAGGGCACAGGCAATAAAACTCAACCAACAACAATGCTACCAATATTGTTGTCGTGTTTGTTCACAGATTTCTTGCATTCAACTGAGTGTTTCAGCACTGGCCAATTTATTGCAATAGCATGATTGTGTTGTTAAACCTTCACTTGGGGAGGTTTATGAAATTGTTTTCATATCAGCAACTGTGTGGTTTACAGTACTGCTCATCTTTTGTTAGAGTTAGCACTTTTGTTTCAAAAATGTTTTATTATTGTTTGCTAAAATTCTGAATCAAGGCTTGTGGCACTAATATAGCATGATCAGGCACAAAGAAACGAACAATTCAATTACTAGTCAAGGAATTGTTTTGATTAAGCTTTAATCACTGAAGATGCCATGCCAAATTGAATTACGTTTCAATAATGGCAACCTTCCAAAATTCTTAGATTAATGCCTGGGTTGTTTATTGATCAAATCTCGTCAAATCTGTCAAAAAGAAACCACTGCAGAGTAAGTAAATAGCTGTTCTTAAAAGGACGGAACATTCTCCACACAAAAAGGAATGGAAGACACAATCAATTTTTCTTTGTAAAAACCACAAAATATCTGAAGGGTTTTTCCTTCTTTAATTAAAGCATTCCACTCAAAAACCTCAAAACTTGTGTGACTATATCTTGAAATATTCTGCGCACAGGTAATTTATCACAGGTCAAGGAAAAAGTTAGACCAGGACATGCAGGCCACAAGTGCGAATATTTATTGTTACTGTCAGCATTGCTTCTTTTCATGTCACTGCCTGAGGCAATGATTAAGAGTAAATTCCATCTTCAGACATCTCCTCCTCAAATCTTTTTCACCTTGACATCACCTCTTGCCATTAAAAGGTGACAATAAACAAATTCTCAAGGAATCAACAATGTAAGGATAAACTGTACCCCAAACAGAAACTCAAACCAATCAAGAAAATGGTTTCAAATGATTACTGTTGCATGATTAAACTTTTTCTGGTGACAGGTCAGGAGGAAGATATTTGGAGAATGTTTCAAGACATATCTTAAGACATGGTTGCTTACTGCATATTAATTTTCTGGAAATGAAGTCTCACATTATCCCCGTAACAGTCCCAAATCTTCCAATTTCAATATGAATTTGCATACACCCTAGGGGGTTAGGGATTTACATGCGGTGTTCTAAACTTCCCATCACATTGCATTTTTTAAAGTTCAGATGACAAACTCATTTTAATAAACTGTGAACCGGAGCAAAGAATTCCCTTCCATGTGCAACCACTAGTGATACAGATGCATCATGCATGACCACAGGTTTGGCATGATGCATGCACAGTGAAAAACATTACCAGAACTGGTTCATAAATGTTATATACATTACATGTATCCAAACCAGCAATGTCTTGTTAAATTGTTTTGATTTGCTTGAATGCATACAAATGCTTTTTAACATTTCACTTACTGAATATCTTAGATGAGGTTGAAAACAGAAATTGTGATAATTGAAGTGAATCCTCCATTCTTACCGCTAACCTTATTGACAGTATGACAGTTGAAAACCACAACTTAAAGTGATCGGACAAAAATAACTCTAATTTAGCAGTTCAATGCATTCTCCTGAAGAATGAAGGGGTTAACTTTGAAGAGAGAAAGAAAAAAGCATCAACATTAACAACAACATGTCATCACTGACATGCTCCAGCGAACTGTGCCATGAATAGTGAATGCACCAGTATCATTTTCGATGCTCTGGTGAATTCTATCACGGTTCCACTGTTGACTCTCTAACTGATTTGCCACTGGCAGCAAAGCGATGAAAATCTGGCATTAGGATAACCTGCAGAAACGTACCTGTGTGCCTTCACAGCAAATGTGCAGTTCAACGACCTCAAAATTGATTCAGGTGAATATCTGAATGAGATTTTTTATTGCCAGCCACGCACATGTATAAAGGTCAGTGAAAGGGTTAATAGTCTATTATAAACCTATTTGATTGCAATAATGTTTAACTTATGGATCACAGATACACAAACCTTTCGATTCAAGGGATTTTGATCACAAATATAGGTAATTATGAATCACAATGAAGCATTACATAAATGTGTATAAACTGCATGTCTTTATATGTACGGTAATCTCAAAGTACATATGGTAAAATACAACATCCAAAGATATTCATCTCAGTGACTTTTCATTCTGCTTTAAAAAATGTTATTTTACATAACTGCACATGAAAGTTTAACTTGGATTCTTTCATTCTAAGAAAAAGGGTCTGGCATATAGCAAGATTGCAGAAGCAAAAACTGTTATGGTTAAACCCAAATACAGGAAGATTATTTTATTAATTTCAATTTTAATACTTCAGCAAGCCTTTCCAAAGTAAAAAGCAACTACTGATGCATCATGTTGTTGATTCCTCAGTTTAATGTGGGTAAAACAAAAATGTAAAAGAAATGCATCCCCCTTTGTTGCATATAAGTAGTTTGCTTGGAATCCTCTATGGGTAATTCCAGAAATTAGGGGTCCATTTTTTTCTCGTCCCTGTTACATCTGACATATGATTTTGTAAGTTCAGAACACATTTTCTAATTTCTAAGAGTGATGAATTAATGCAAATTACCTGCCAAACAAATATATGTACATGTAGTAATAGTTTGAGAACAATTCTGGTGATATTTCCATGTCAAATAACAAAGGTTCAATGTAACAGGGACACAAAAAGTCACACATTTGGACAACAAATTTCTTTAATTACCCCTATACAATTTTACATATATGCAGAACCAATGGGGCAATCTTTGTAAGTAATTAGATCTTTCAAGAGGCATCAAGTCAGGTCTGAAGTAACAGTAGCCGGTACATTCCTCAATCCTATCAAATCTGTCAAAAATCCCCAGGTTAATTTTTAAAAGATTTGGCAAAGTTGGGAAAGGTTAGAGTTTCAAGGACTAAGTGGAATTTTACAGCAACTGCAGGCAGATAATGCAAAGACTTTTCCATGAGCCATCTGTGACTCAAGAGTTTTTTCCAGAATTTGCTCCCATTTGTACTCTGCTCTAGAGAGACAGACATTTTACATATTCATAGGAAGATGGCTTCTGGAAAGGTACATACATCGTGCCACATAACCAGTTTGAATTTTGCCAATCTTGTAAATAAACAGACAACAGAGTTCGTGAATATTTCTATGATTAGAAAGAAACTGGTTCCAGAAAGCGGCACCAGTGTACATGTACTGGTACTAACAAAGATAACTGCTTGAGGCCAAATACAATAGTTGTTTTAATGGGCCTCGTTTACAAAAAAAATCAATGAGTCCTGGACCTGTGTCACACCTGAAATTCAAGATGGCCAGGCCACTCTTGAGAATACAGTACAGGTCTTTGAAGTGTTGACTATAAGTCAAATCCATCACGAAAGCCTTAATGTACATGTATATAGCTTCAGGCAAGATGAACTAGTGGGCGCTTTTACTAATAAAGTTTTTGTTCCTATATCCATCTTAAAAAAATAATAATAATAAATCAGTTGCTGTGTTCAGGCATGCAGTTTTCTCACTTCCCTAGAGAGGTGACTGTGAGGACACAAAAAAGATAATACGCTTGTTCCATCATTACATGTACCAGTACTTGAAAAATTATAAAGGCCCTGTTTTAAGCTGGACTGATGGCACCGGAGTGACAACAGTGACCCTATAAAATCCAGTGCATCGTGGTAACCAGAGAGGGAAATACACGTATGTATGAAGATTGTTGGCATGGTTGTCCAAGACTGATGCTACAATTGGGCCCACTAAAGTCCACTGGAGCAGAAACTGCGCAGGTCACAGACCCAACTTACAGAGGTCGGCATGATCATGTCTTTTGTGAGGGAGGTGGAGAAATTTTCAAAGCACCAGCCATTCTGTTGTTGTAATTGTGCATTTTGAACTATTAAAAAAGTGAAGGACTATTTTTGGACATCAAACTATTTA